GCTCAGAGAACTCCAAGGACTCCACAGTTCAACCCTGAGCTACACATATTTGCTTCTATTGATAATGAGTATTGTTTAGCATTCACTGATAGCTGGCTAAGTCCATACTCTGCATCCAAGATACCTTTTTCATGAGTGCATTCTTTTCTATGGAATAGTCTATTATCTAATTAATTATAGTATTCTGCTTAAGTTCAGTAGCACATTCTCTAACAACAGCTCCTGCTAAACTCAAATCTCCAAAAGAGAATGTCTCCATTCAACCCACCATTAGCTTTAGCAATTTGATTTGCCCATTTTTTTTCATTGTGCTTCAAAAACTTGCAGAATTTGTCTGACCACAGTCTACAAATAGAAAGAAATTGGCACTGATACATCACATCAAGTGAAAGCAGTTAGCATTTATCCATTCCACTGCAATTGTTTGAAGATCCCATTCAGATATATTTCTGCAAGCAACTTGATATGTCCTAAATGCTGGGTGTGTTGGTGTCAAGCGCTTGTGATACAGCATGATACTTCCAGGTACTGAAGATCATTGAGGTGTGTTTTTGTATATTTAAAAGCTACAGCATAGTCACCATCAAGAGTGTATAAACCAGCATCAGGGTGGAAACCCCATTATAATTATTATAATTGGTCATTATACAAGGAATGATTCTGCTGATGACCTTGTACATTCCTGAAAGTGATCATATGTAGTATTTAAAGCAGCACTAAATAAGATAGTATTGTGGAGGCAACAGGTTATTCATAAAAAAAGTCTGTACTTGTAGGAAGGGAAGTTGTCTCTGGTCATTCATTCAAGTTACACTGCAGAGCTGGTGTCTCCAAATTTCTGAAACAGCTGCAACAAGAAATCATACTTACTAACAATTTTCTAAACAATGATATTATGGAATGAAAATTACAGTGATTAGGATAAAAGAACAAAGTCAGATATATGACTGACTGAATTTGTTTGATTCAATTAATGATCACACTGCTAAGACCATCATATTCAGTGGGTATGATCTACCTGTTTGTGAGATCAATAGAAAAACTTCCATCTCTTGAATGGTACTGGGTTTATCTGAGTGAACCAATCAATGAAAAACAAAAAGCTGTGAATCCATTTCTACCAGCATTATCATCTCTGGAAGAGTAACGGGTTTAAACTGAGCAGAAACTGTATTTCAAACAAGCAGCACTTCTAATATAAGTCAATGAAACTACATTGGGATTTGTGCTAGGCATATTTTAAAATAATGCAGTGGCTGTGCATGATTTAAATGTCACATTCTAACTAGTTCATCATGCTGTAGTCCAAATACTTTTGCCCAGTAATGCTGTAGGGACACCAGTAATTTTAAATTGTGCTCCTCCTTCCCCCAAAATTATCTATATTAAGTTGAAAGGCAGACATCATAGATATTTACTGCTTCCACTATGTTATAAGATTTTAACTTACATGAGTTTTGCAGATATAGTTGGATCTCCCTATCATTACTCCTAAGCATCAGCTCACTTCACTTTTCACATTCCCCCTGTCCAGGCTAAGAATTAAACATTGTATAACTCTACCATGAACATGAATGAAATATCTGCTCAGTAGACATATCTGCTATTGATACTGCAAAAGGAGTGGATTGATATTAGGTTATTATGTTTCCTTTGCAGTTGATTATCACATTTGAATGAAAGCTGGAGAAGATCTTACAGACAAGCAACTTCTGTATGTATGTATGTATGTATGTATGTATGTATGTATGTATATATGTATATATATGTATATGTGTATGTATATGTGTATGTATATGTGTATGTATATGTGTGTGTATATATATATATATATATATATATATATACATACACACACACACACACACACAGAGTATGTATATGTCTATATATAGATATATATAGATATATAGATATATATAGATATATATAGATATATATATAGATATATAGATATCTATATCTATATATTTATATATTGCCCATATAATTGAGAACCTCGTCTTTTGCTGAATTTCCAATCACACAAGAAACGTGTATATATACTACTTGTATGGATACAGATTCTATTCAGCTGAATGGAAGTGTAGTCTTTCTGTCCCTCTCCATATTTCACATCCATGGATACGTTTCATTAAAGAGGGCAGATGTTGTCTTATTGTTTTCTCTATCTCACAAAAACACGACTTAACGACTGAACAACAACAAAAAAGATAGTATCATGCATAAAAGGATGATACTTAAAAAAAAGAATTAAACATCATTGAAGAAAGCATCCATTGGAAAAGCTGCAATTCCACCTTTTGGAATATTTACGTGCTGCTTCATTCCCAGCAACTCTGGGCAATTTACAAATGTTTTAAAAGATAAAAACAAGACAATAAAAAGATCCCCCTACCACCACCAAAAAGGTGGAGATGGCAAAATGAGAAACAGGGTGGAAAGAAAAGAACCTAGGTTAAAAGGAGGTTTCAGTCAACCTCACCAAAGGCCTGGATGAAGAGCCAAGTCTTCAGGACCCTTCAAAACACCAGCAGGGTGGGGGCCATTCAGTCTCAGGGGGAACCTCATTCCATAAGGCAGGTGCTGTGACAGAGAAGGCACACATCTGGGATCCTGATAGATGGCATTGCTTAATTGAAGGAACCCAGAGTGCACCAACCCTGCCAGACCAAATCAACTGGGCAGATACCATGGAAGATAGGCAGTCCCTCAAGTACTAGGCCCTATGCCATGCAAGGCTTTATAGGTGACAACCAGCACCTTGAATTGCACCTGGAAGCAAACTGGCAACCAGTGCAGCTGTCAAAGAAGAGGTGTTACATGGGCATACCAAAGCATGCACATAACTACCCACGCTGCTGCATTCTGAACTAGTTGAAGCTTCCAGGTGGTCTTCAAGGGCAGGCCCACATAGAGCACATTGCAGTAGTCAAGCCATGGGGTTACAAGGGCATGAGTGACTGCCTGAGTAGTGTCTCCTACTATACTTTCAAGGGCAGCTTTTCTCAACGGTCTCTATCTAGATGTGTTGGCACTGAATCTCACAGAATCCCCAGCTAGCTTGGCTAAAGACATAGCCAATATATCAGCAGGGAGCCATGCAAGAGGGCCAGCTGCTAGAGGCTGCAGCATTTCTTTCACTCTAATCCTGTGTTTTCTCACAGGATCTCCCCAGCTTTTAATTACCTTGTTCAAAAATGAGATGTTCACCAGTGATCCCAGAAATCCAAAAGCAATTGGGAAAAAGCTCCTAAAGTCCAAAAATAAAAATAAAAATTAATCACTGGTGGAAATAATCAACCAGAAATGAACTTGAGATCCAAACCAGACATGACAGCATCAATACTGTGTGCTGAAAGTTGGAATTGCCCCCCCCCACCATACTTTGAGGGGAAAGTTCTGATTTAAACAGTTAAAAACAAATATAGGTGCTAACACCCCTCTTCATTTTTATGATTTGCTACTCCCCCAATACTTTTTTTCCCTAAACTGTGATTCTAATATCTAAAGATATTCCACTTGTGGAGTCTTTGGGGTTCTCTGAGCTTGGTTGTTTTCTTGGAAACATTTTGTTACCTGGCTAGGTAACATCTTCATTGCTAGAAGGGAGTGGGGTTTGCCGTCTGTTTATATACAGTGGCTTGCCCTGCCAGTGTTGGTGGGGGTGGGGTTTTTTTTCTTTTTTTTTCCTGGTAGTTCCTTGATTAGGAAATTGTTTACTGCTTGATTGTATATCTGGTGATAATCTTGGTGTTAATCTCTGAAGAGGAATCAAGGAACTACCAGAAAAAAAGAAAAAAACCCACCCCCACCAACACTGGCAGGGCAAGTCACTGTATATAAACAGACGGCAAACCCCACTCCCTTCTAGCACTGAAGATGTTACCTAGGTAATGAAACGTTTCCAAGAAAACAACCAAGCTCAGAGAAACCCAAGGACTCCACAGTTTCAACCCTGAGCTACATATATTCTCTTCTACTGATATTCCAATTGAATGTTCCAGGGAAAGCGACATGCGGGGAAGTAATATATTGACTTATTATTCTCACCTCTGGACCCTCTTATAGCTACAGCACACAGCCTTCTCCAATCTGGCTGTCCACTAGATGTGTGGGCTTCAATTCCCAGAATTCCCCAGCCAGCATGGACCTTGCTGAGCATTAGTTTTAATTTGGCCATGGAAAGAAGTCTATGAAGTTACATTTCTGGACCACATTGAGGAATAATTTATTAAAGATACTTTTCATATTCTGCTTGAAATAAAGTGATACATTCAGCTGTGAATCAGCCCAATCATCTAAGAGGCTATGAATGAGAATCTCAAGCAACCAGGGAATGAAGTCCAGCATTGTGAGTTATCTTGGGCAGTCTATGCTCAAACCTTCAATGGACTGCACTGCTGTCTCCCTATAAGGGCCATAAAGACCTGACTATTCTCCCAGGTCCTGGGCTAGGATGTTTTGGGGTGTCTTGGTCTTCTTTCTTATTCTTCTGTTCTAGTTTGGTTTTGTCATTTCTTATTATATTGTTTTTATATTGTCTGGTGTATTGTGAACTGCCCAGAGTCATTTGGAGTAGGGAAGTATCAAATCAAATCAAAACAAACAAATAACTGACCAATCAACAAGCAGAGTGAAGCCTGAGGATTGTCCAGACCTAGATTAATACCAGGAGGAAGATCTTTTACCTTGAAGTAGTGCATTTTGCCTTTGCACATTAAGCTCCTGCCTCAGTCACTAACTTGAGGCACTGGAGAGTTCAAATTTATCTTTGGGGAAAGTTATCTATAACCCCAGCCTTATCTTGACACTTTATTTATTAATTTTGATTTAGATGGCCACCCATCTCACCAATGTGACTCTGGGCAGCTAACAGAAATTAAAATACAATATAAGCATAATGTATGTTAAAAATTAAAAACACCATTCCCAGCTAACAAACACAGAGAAGCTACCAAACACACCATTCACCAATAACATGGGCTTGATTGTGTATACTGTCATGTTAGAACAGTGTTTCCCAACCTTGGCAACTTGAAGATGTGTGGACTTTAACTCCCAGCATTTCCCAGCCAGCATGCTGGCTGGGGAATCCTGGAAGTTGAAGTCCACACATCTTCAAGTTGCTAAGGTTGAGAAACACTGTGTGAGACAACTATCTATCTATCTATCTATCTATCTATCTATCTATCTATCTATCTATCTAT